GCTGTAGCTTACTCCAGATGCATGGAATTGTTACATTGGAATAAAATTTAAAAACAGAAGTAGAACTGAGGGAAGAAAGGGTGGTTATGTTACATATGAAACAATTAGCCATTGTAGTGTTAAAAGCTCTTTTAAACCCTCCAAGTGTACCTTTTGCTGAACTCTGCATCACAACTGAATTTGTTCTGCAACAGACATGCTTAACTCACAGAATTAAGCCAGGCATTCAGGAGTCTGAACTACTCACTCAACCAATAGACAAAAGAGCCAGATCAATTCCTAGAACCAGACTACAGAAACAGAAATTCACTGGTTGTCACCTACAGCTCTTGCCACTCAAGCTACAACCATAATGACAATAATAATAATAATAATAATAATAATAATAATAATAATAATAATAATAATAAAGTTGGAAGGGACTTTGGAGGTCATCAAGTCCAACCCCCTGCTCAGGCAGGAAACCCTATACCATTTCAGACAAATGGCTGTCCAGTTTCTTCTTAAAAACTTCCAGTGTTGGAGCATTCACCGCTTCTGGAGGCAGGTTGTTCCACTGGTTAATTGTTCTGTCAGGAAGTTTCTCCTTAGTTCTAGGTTGCTTCTCTCCTTGGTTAGTTTCCACCCGTTGCTTCTTGTCCTGCCTTCAGGCGCTTTGGAGAATAGCTTGACTCCCTCTTCTTTGTGGCAACCCCAGAGATATTGGAACACTGCTATCATGTCCCCCCTCGTCCTTCTCTTCATTAAACTAGACATACCCAATTACAAGGACAGTGCCTTTTCTCAAATCCGGATGGCATTCTTCTACACAAATTGCCATATTTGCATACAATCACCTTGAAACAGATTCACACAAGTGATAAGAACAATGAGGTTAACATGAAAACCAGACCCTTCAACAAACCCAGATAGCTACTTTGCCCCTTCCCCTATATTTATACTAACAGCTACATCACAGGTCCCCACAATTTCTCACACAAAATTAGAATAAGTTCCCATCTCGTGCTCCTCTTCCAATGCTGTTATCTGCCAGCATTGTTCCTCTGCATCTACTCTGGAGAAAGTCAAATGTTTTGCAAAAGAATCAACAGGCTCAAGTTTGACATCTGTTCTCAGCACAATGCAAAGAACAGCAGAGCCAGGACACATCATAGATTTCAAAGTTGTCATTTTACAATAAAATGATGTCAGGATCAGAGAGTGAGTCCACCAAACTGACATCTCTAAAGTTTTCAAGCTATCTTAGAAGACCCCAACAAATAGGTGTTTGACACATTACAATTGCTAATTGATGAAGTTCTCCAAATCTGTCTCACACCTAACATGCAGTTACATATCCATCCTTTTCAAGTTCTACACCAGTTGACCCACTCCTGGTGTCTGATGAAGTGAGTTACACCTCATGAAAGCTTCTGCCCCTTAATATATATATATTTTTTTAGTTTGAAACGGTGCTGCCAGATTGATGATTTAAGGGAAATGTGGCAATTTCTAACTGGAAGCCTTTATAGTATAGTGCAGGGATAGGCAACCTCGGCTCTTTTATGATTCATGGACTTCAACTCCCAAAATTCCTGAGTCAGCATAGCTATGCTGACTCAGGAATTTTGGGAGTTGAAGTCCATGAGTTATAAAAGAGCCGAGGTTGCCTACCCCTGGTATAGTGTAAATAGCACATGAATTATCTCGTTAGCCTCACATGAGCAGGACAGGAGCTACGGATTGTATACACATGAATCTGAGATCACTGGAAGTATCTGAATGTACAGGTAGTCCTCAACTTATGACAATTGAGCCCAAAATTTCTGTTAAGTGAGACATTTGTTATAAGTGAGTTTTGCCCCATTTTACGACCTATCTTGCTACAATTGTTAAGGAATCACTGCAGTCATAAGTTAGTAACCCAGTTGTTAAGTGAATCTGGCTTCCCCATTGACTTTGCTTGTTAGAAGGTTGCATAAGATCACATGACCTTGAGACAGCAACGGTCCTAAATATGAACCAGTTGCCAGGCATCTGAATTTTGATCACATGATCATGGGGATGCTGCAAGGGTTGTAACTGTGAAAAAATGGTCATTAAATCACATTTTCAATGGTGGTGTAACGGTCACTAAATGAACTGCTGTAAGTTGAGGACTACCTGTTTAGCATAGTGCAAATAGCACATGAATTATCTCTTTAGCCTCACATGGCAGGACAGGAGTTGCGGATGGTATAACCTCGAATTTGAGGACCACTGGAAGTATCTGAAGATGTGCATGAATGGTCTGATTTTATGCGGGAAGATTAGTAAGATATCCGGTTTCAATAAAGCTTCAGCCGGCTGTTTCACAAATCCGCACTAACAATAACAAGTCAGCCATACGCGCCTCTTGCAGAAGCCGTTCTTGGTCCGTTAGTTCCTGAAACCAGGTCTGGCAAGGCCACAACGAAGATGTAAAGGCGTTCGCACGTTTACCGCTACACTGCAGGCAGCAATGCAACTGCCGGGCAGATTTTCATGGCTAAAAATATCTTCGTGCGTATCAGCAGGTCGAGCCTCCAAGTGCTAGTAGCTCAGCCACCTGCAGTCCCAGCGACCACCTCTAGTTCTCGATTAAGGCATCCTTACCAGACTGTCTCGAAGAGGGTCCACGCGTGCAACGATTGGAACGCGGGTGCCATAACAACGACGCGAATTACGCCAAAAGAATTCAGTTGGGCAGCTTGTGATTGGCCAAATCACTCTGGGCGGTCGTCCTTTTTCAGCCCCGCCCGCGGGAAGGCTTCGATTCCTGCTCTGTCTTTGATGTCACCAGTTTGGCAGGTTCGCTCGTCCGCTTGCTCGTTTTTTATTAGCGCATTTTTTTATCCCGCTTTTTAGACTGGTTTCTTGTGTCCCTAATAGCGGCTGCTAGTGATAAAGGGGAAATAATGTTTTATCTTTGTCTTTTTTTTAAGGAGGCAAATTCCTGGCCTTGGATTTTAGACAGATATGCTTAAATAGTCCAGCTGCTCCAAGTTTAACTTGCTAATTTCTTTCTCTCAGACTCCTCACTGCTTTGTATAATAAGTTTATAAACTGGACTAAGTTCAAAAGGTTTCCTAAAATGGCCTGGCACATTTACAACTCTATTCTGCTTATTTTCTGATATCAAGAATAACAACTACACAGCAAGCAGAAGTTCAGGAAGCACATCTATTATCAATACAACTCACACTGGTGCATTTTCCTAGTTAGCTTTCATAAAGTACAAATATCTCCCATAAGATTATAAGCAATGTCCTGATGGATTGGATCCTGGCTGTTTAGTTCAATATCCTGTTCTTATAGTGGCCAACCAACCACCTAAGGGAGACCCCTGGCCTCCTTGCAGACAGCTGTCCTGCTAAGGAAGATGTAGTGGTAGAGCTTCAAAAAACATCTGTCCTGAAGGACACTAAGTTAGGTGCTTCCTCTCCAGAATCATCTTCACCTTCCAAACTGTGAAGGGAATATTGAAAAGATGGTGTTAGTAAAGATAGGTTTTTGCTCCATCAAACATAATAATTATATATATGGAGCTTAAAATAAAAAAGACCCCAAAATGTCCTTGGATCGAGTGGAGGAGGCAACTGTTCCTCATCAGAAGAAATCTGCTGCCTATCAGCACCATTGCCTATTGGCAGACGATTCTCCCCTGTGTCTGTGAAGGCAGGCAGCTCTTTGGCTGACCACCTCTCCTAATGCCTGAGGGGCCTGGGACAGCATCGTCCTCAACCCCTGGCCTCTCCAAACATGCCAAGGGAGACGTGCCATCCCTGTTGGAAGATCTCGGTTCCATCTCCTCCTCCAAACCAGGCTTCAATGGGGCCATGACACATACCATCTCTTCAGAACTTGGGGCATAAACTGGGATTTCCGGGAAAGCTCCTAAAAGCAAGTCAAAATAATCCTGAATCAGAAAGGGATCTCTTCTTGAATTGCTTTTTTTTTTGTCTCAAGCTGCAGTTACCTGATTACAGGTAATCCTCGACGTACGACCACAATTGGTCCCCAAATTTCTGTTGTTAAATGAGACATTTGTTAAGTGGGTTTTGCCCCATTTTATGACCATTCTTGCCACAGTTGTTCAGTGAAGCACTGCAGTTGATAAGTTAATATCCCAGTTGTTAAGTGAACCCAGCTTCCCTATTGACTTTGCTTGTCAGAAGGTTGCAAAAGGTGATCACATGGCCTTGGGACACAGCAACAGTCAAAAGTGAATCAGCTGCCAAGCATCTGGATTTGGATTACATGATCATGGGGATGCTACAAAAGTCATAACTGTGAAAAACAGTCACCAATCACATTTAGTATCCTTATTAGTACCCTTGGCCCACTTGCATTGCTACCTGAAATTGGCCTGATCCCAATGAATTTCATCCAAAAGGCTTCCCTTTGTCTCCTAACCCACCAAAAGCACATTAAACACAGAGCTATCACCAAAGCATTCCTTTCAATATGTATTTCCCATAGTGTACTTGCTTGCTCTCTTGTAGTCTCTTCCTAGCCAATAAGTATAAATACAAACATTAATTTGTTGCACTCTTACCACTCTGTTTTCATCAATCATATCAAAGAAAACAATTTAGGAGGGGTCTAGCTGTTCTTGGCAGCTTCAAGTCATAGTTTGGGATTGCTTCTTGTTACTTTCATCAGTTATATTTTGATCTGGTTTCTAGTATGTCCTTGTTTCAGCCCACCAGAATGTATTGGTACATTCTCTAAGTACTAGTATGTTCAAACAGAATGTATATTTTTTATAAAACTTGAATATACATCATATGGCTGATCAAACTCAATATTCATTATGATTGCTTATGAAAGTTATTGCTAGGCAAGCCTGCAAAGAAGTTATATGCTGTTCAAGCCTGGATTTGCTCTGGTTCATCCAGCCCTTGGTTCCTATCTATCCAAAGTACCTTTTCAACATTAGTTACAGTTAATACAAAGGTTATTTTTTAAATTATTGATGTTTCTTTTCCATAGATATTTATGACATGAAGAAACTTCTGTTGATTGATGCTGATTGTGGTGTTGATGACGCTCAAGCTATAATGATGGCTCTTGCAAATCCCGGTGTAGAAGTCCTGGGGATTACTTGCACTTATGGGAACAACCTATTGGAAAATACATCTAGAAATGTGCTCCGTGTGTTACATGTTTGTAATAAGCTTGAGGTAATTGCCCCAACTGAACAATCCAACACATTCGGCATAGCACTGTGTATGGGACTCACAAAATCAGATCTTGGCATGTGAGACTGGTGTTTATTTGCTTATGTGTAAGAATCACTTTACGCATAAGACAAGGGTGGCTGCACCACTAATTTTCAAAAAGTGGTTCCTTGCCTTTTATAAAAAGATATTGATGCAGCTGTTTTAACTATGGATATGATCTCTTGGGTAGGGTTAAATCAACTTCATGGTTTGCGGTAGAAATTATTACCACTATGACATTACTAGATGTGTTCTAGTTTTGATCTGAAGTGGAAACTTTAATGTATTTATTTGCTTAGTTTCATACTAGTCCATGTAGGATTTTCCAGGTTGTGGAAGAACACAATTATTACTTAGCAATATTACAGGCCCTTGTGCTGCTTTCCTTCCCTACCATTTGACCTTCTCCCCAGCAACAGCATGACAGAGTTGCCCAGAAAACTGTAACTTGACACAGATCTGGGAGATGATGGAAGGAGAATGGAGGAGATGTGTGTTTTGGACCTCTGCAACCATCAGCAAACAGAATATAGCAACCAAATGAAAGAAGATGTTTTCCCTTCAGAAGAAGTGAATGGTTCAAAAGAGGGGAAAAGAGGAGTCCAGGGAGACAAAGCACTCATATGTCACTTTTGTCTGGGGTTTTTTCTCTCCAAAATAAGATATTTTTATTTTGGTCCTCTATACAGATGTAGAAATGTTTTTAAATGCGATAAAATAAGCAAAGATAAATCATGAATTTGACTAGCTTGAAATAAAAAAAATGGATGGCTGGACTCATGGTGCAATTAAATTATTTGACATTGTTATTTAATTTCAGGGGGATCAATAGCTGTTCTTTAACATTCATATTATACTGGCATCTTTTCATATATAGATTCCAGTTTATCCTGGTGCTACTGCTCCTCTACTTGGTGGGCCTGTGACAGGGGCACTGTTCCATGGCAAAGATGGATTGGGTGATGTTCCTGATCCTAATGCACCAGGAACAGAACTTCTGCAGAAAGAAAATGCTGTGACCGCAATATTAAGAATAGTGAATGAGCGACCAGGTCAGGTGAGATGATAAAGGTACCATAAATATTTATCATAAATGTGTAATAGAATAAGGTCTCCATGTTCCCCAGATCTGAATTCCATCACAATATTTTTAATAGGGCTGCAAAAATCCACATGGCCAGTACATGGCAACAATATTTTTTCTGTATCTCTTTGCTTGCAACTTGTGGTTGTCTAGAATTTTCAGCCCAGGTATTACTTTCATGCTGCCTGACATTCAAAGACTTGGGATGGATAAATGGATAGATATGGAAGATAAGGCAGCCCTACTGTTAACATAAGAAACCTAGAAAGAAGAAACAGAGGCATCAGAACAAGGACAAAACTGTGCTGTACCAAATGGAATTACAGTAGATTCCTTATGAGTATAGCAAAATATGTTTTGACTTTCAGTTCAAGATTTATTCATATATTATTTCCAACTGGACCCAAAAAATGTGATCACATATTGTCTCTATAGCAACAGTTTGATCTGAAGAAGTGAGGCCTAATCAACCACAGAAAAATTAATATATTACAGTTATGTGTTATTAATAATATTCAATAAATAAATTTATCTTTAGATATCTCTGGTTGCTCTTGGTCCATTGACGAATATAGCACTAGCAGTAAAAATGGAGCCATCACTTCCCAAGAAACTTAAAAATTTGTTCATCATGGGAGGAAATACTGAATGTAAGTGAACACAAGAGGACCTGTTTGACATGTTTATATCTGTCTAATTTGGCAGATCCATGCTTAAAATTCATTTTAACCTGTTTGTTCATTTTTATGGGGAAAAAAACCCTAATCATACTACCTAATTCTGGCTGTTTAGACAAAGCCTAAACTTTAAATGCTTTCATTCAAGCTTTCTCCCAAGTAAGTATACAAGGGTGTGTGTCCTAAGCAATATTTTAACATATATTGAGTAATAGGATAAAGTGGAATAATCATAGCAGTTATCCAAGGAAGTAATTCATGATGCACGTGGCTATCACAACCAAATTATGCCTAACTTCATCTTATGTGATGATAGAATTACATCATTAGGGGCATACTATAGTCATAGTATATCTGGACCTCAGCAAAGCTTTTGACAACTTGCCTTGTGATATTCTCCTTCATGGAATAGCAAAATATGGCTAGAAAGTGCTACTATTTAATGGACACAGCTTAATGACTGTACTTAAAGAAAGTGCATCAATGGCTCCAGTTCAGCCTGAAGGGAAGTATTGGGTGGAATGCCATAGAATTCTGTTTTGGGTGCTGCTGTTTAGCATTTTTATCTATGAATTTGATGAGGGAGTTGAGGGGACTCTTACTAAATTGCACAAAGCTGGGAAAGTTGAATTATATTAAATGAAAGACAATTCAAGAAGGGCTAGATAGGCTTGAAGTGCAAATTGAAATGAATAGGGTGAAAATGAATGTAGAGAAATATAAATTAACAGTGTGATGCAGTTGCTGAAAAGGCATATACTATCTTGAGTGCATAAACAGGAGCATAAGAGTTTAGATCATGCAAAGTAACTGTTCTATCCTGCCAGTCAAACCCTATTTGGGGAATTATGCCCTGTTCTGGGCATCACAGTTCAAAGAAAGGGTAACGACAAATCAGACAAAGTTCAGAGAAGGCTACTAAGGCTCCTGAGATGCTAAGAATCTGGAAACCAAGTCTTACAAGGAACTTATATAAGGGATCTCAGTATGTTTAGAGAAAATACATTTGAGAGAAAATATTAATTTGGTCTTCATATATTTAAATGGAATCCAACTGAACATGGTATGTATTTATTCTATATTGCCCAGACCAGAATCAGTGGGTTAAAATACAAAGAAAGATTCCAATAAAGGAAAATATTTGTAACTCAGGGTTGAAATGAGGGGTCCTTGGTGCTCTCTGAGCTTTGTTGTTTTCTTGCAGACATTTCATTACCCAAACCCAAACATTAGTGCTAGTAAGGAGTAGGGTTTGCTCTCAGATTATATTCTAGTGGATTGCCCTGTCTGTTGGTGGGAGTGGTCTTGGTGGTTCTTTGGTTGGACTGTTTATTGCAAGCTTGTTTGGCAGTTCCTTGTTTGGGGTAATGCTTGCTCATTGATTGTTGGTCTGATGTTAATCTTGGAGTTAATCTATGCTGATCTAGATGCTGATTGTTGATGGAGAGGTGCTTAGGTCTTTTTGTTCCCTTTTGGCTTGTTGATTGTCTGTTTTGCATAGATTCATTCCAATGCATCTACTGCAATAATTCTAAAAAAACTTTGTCTTTGTTTCCTTTAGCCAGAGGAAATGTTAAAGTGTGTGGAGAATTCAATTTTGCAACTGATCCTGAAGCTGCTTACATTGTCTTAAATGAGTACACCTGTCCAATGTATATTGCAGCCTGGGAGTTCACCTGTGCCTGCTCACTGCCCTGGGTAAGATAATTCTCTACTCTTTTGTCTGTGCTGGGAATTAGTTTTACTGAATTCATTCTGTGTAGATAGGTAGGTTAATTAAACTAGGTTGCATAGGCTCATTCTACTTGCTTCTGGAATGGCATGCAGCCTCTGTTGTTAGGAAGGTCAAGCAGAGTAGCAGCTGATTCCCAAAGATCTACCAAAAAAGATAAGTGACCAATCAATGCTGGGGAATGGAGAGGAAGGTGTGAGACCCAGTGGGATGGGAAAGCAGGCTCAAAACAGGATGGGATGGAGAAAACAGACAGTTGGTCTTAAGGGCAGGGAGATTGCCAAATGCCAATATTTTTTCACATGACCATTGAATGAGTACTTGTTTTTTTAAGTGCATCAAGGAAACATATTGAAGACTTCTAGGCTAATAACTTCAACATTCATCATAGCCTTACATTCAACCATTGTATTATTTTATTGTGATCAGCTGTTCTGCAGGCTTTTAAAGTGCAGTGAAAAGTGTAGAGAATATTAGGATTTTTTATTAGGAAAACTAGTTGATGCTTTATAGCAGTGGCCTCCAACCTTTTGGGCACTAGGGACAGGTTCTGTGAAGAGAGGGTTTTACCATGGACCCGAAGGGCCCTGGTTTCTGGCATGCAACAGACCGGGAGTTGGGGAACCTTGTTTTTTAGCTATCAATAATACTTATATGTATTTTGTTCAATTTCACCAACTCTAGTTGGCTTCCACAAAAATATAATTAAAATTATAAAAACAATTGATTGAAAACATTTGTTATTGTATACCATTTATCAGAAAAAGAAATCTCCTGTTGTAAAGCATCCCCACTCATTCTAAATTCATTTTTGAAAAACTCGCAGAGATGCACATTTAAAGGATTCCCAAACAGGCAACAATCCCAAAATTGTGTTCCTTTCCACACTCAGCACCTTCACTGGCTATTTAAGAACACATGCTACATTGATTTATCCACTGCATTGAAATTAAGAATCTTTGATATCAGTGCGTATTATAATCTTCTTCTCTAATTTGGAATAATAGGGCTTTGTTTCTTTTTTTTTCCTCCCCAAGGTTTTACTAGGGCTTTTAGGTGTTTCTTTATCACAAATTCTTGTCTGCTGTCCAAGAATTTAAGGCAATGCACATATTTTCTCTGACATGGCAGCCTTGTGAGATATCATAGTCTGAGAGACAGTGACTGTTTTAAAGTCTTCCAATTAGCTTCTGAAATTTAAGTCAGATCTTCCCAATTCAGTCCTAAATCCTAAAGACTATACCATTTTGGCTTCTATTGGAATGTTGTAATACAGGCTTGGATACTGCATCTAATGTCTTGATTCTCACTTTAGCCTTTTTTTTCCCCCCAACATCTTTCCTGTTCAATATGCTTCAATGAGTCAGTCTTCCCATAATCTTATAAATGTTATTGCAGGTACAAAAGGCAAAATAGGTAAGATGTTTTTATAGGAAGGTTTCGCCCCCTTCATATTCATTGAAAATCTTTTCCTTTTTGTCTTTCTTGATTTCATTTATTATTTTTTGCCTCTTAAGATCTCATAATTCTCCTGGCAAAATCCATTTTACCAAATCTTTTTTCTTGTCCTCAAACTTATTTTGTAATCTTAAAGTGTAGTTTGTCTTTTCCATGTCCAGAGTTCCCTGTAAAAAAAATTTCCATCTGGGTTAAGTCATATTTCCTAGTATTGTTAAATTCCATCTTGAAATGTCTCTCCTCTGTCTCATAATCAGTTGTCTATTTTCTCTGCTCACTCTCTATTTTTATTTTCTGAGAGTTTTTATGTTGTAAAGTTAAATTGGAGATGTGTTCATTTATGTTTTCAAGGTTATGTTTAATTTCCTCGTGCTTTGAGATTATTATTATTTGGATTAGTTGCAACATAGCATAGATCTCCTTCTGGAAAGTATTTGTTTTTTCTTGATATATTCTTTCTGCAGATCTCTGGTTTTCCATGATAGCCAAAAATCAGGGTTTTCCTTTCTCTGCAGATGGCTTTAGAGTTACAGTTGAGTTAGTATTTGTAATCCAGAAAGGTCAATTCTTTTTTTTTTAAGTTTATAATTCTCACTTTATAGAAAGCCCAAGATGTTTCCTTTTTTTGTCACAGTTGTTCTTTGTTATTAAGACATTGAAGGTCACCAAGATCAAATTTATCTTTTCCTGGGCCTTGTCAGTCTCTGTAGTAGAGAAGCTGTTGTAATATTTTTATCACCACTAGATGTCAGGACCAATTCTTTTGGTAATAAACACTTATTTACTTCTGTTTTGATGATATAAAAGGAAAATCTTAACAGATTCCACCGATTTTAAACTTATCCAAATTAAGTCTTATTTTTTTTATTTCAATATATTTCTATTCCCCTGAAAGGTTTAATTTGCCACTTCCATCTGCAGCAGGGTGGGGCAAAAGTCCCCCTTTTCATTTTCAGAGGCTTTTTGCTTCTTGGGGTTTTTCTTTTCTTTTTTTTTACAGGAAATCAATTTCTAAATAGAAGAGAGAAAATCACTGTTCTTACCCAAAATTCCAAACACATTGTTTACAGTCAGCTTGAAGGAGTACTTTTGGACTTCGGTTGCTTGTAGCTTGAGCTAAACTCAGAAGTTGAGCTACCCTCTTCTCCTGCCAGTTTCTGGAGGGCTTTTCCCAAACTGATCGGATTGACCACCGTCTCTCCGCAATCGATGGGACTTCTCCTCTTCTGTGTTGCCTCTACAGAGCAACTTCAGGCCCATTTAGGGTCCCCTGGCAGGCAGAAATCAGCTGTAGGGAGCGGAGCCCTGTGATCCCTCGGCTGCTGAACTACTATGCAAAACCAGAAGTCCCCCATGAAATGTTTTTAAATGCATATGTACATACACCCATACACTATAGAAATATTGCTATAAAAATTTTGCAAAGGTTTTGTATTGTCTTTGTACCTTTTTTTTAATAAAACATCTCCTAAGGCAGAACATTTTATTAATAAGTTAGCAGTTCATCTTTTATTGGATTTATGCTCTCTATAGTAGTAAACTTATTTTTCCTGTTTGGGAGGCTTGCAGGGCAACATGGTTGTTTTAGGCTTGCCTCAAAGTCCCTGAAACAAAATGCGGGCAGAAAATCCAAGCCTACTTATTCCAGTGACATAACATTATTGGGTCTGCTTCTTTTGGCTTCTAGCAAGGTAGATGTGACTCCTCCAGGGTGATTGCCCATTGATCTCCCCCCCCCTTTTTTATCAGATAATTCCCTCTTTGGCTGGTTTTTAATGTTCAACATTGTTCTTTCCTTCCTAGGAATTCTACCATGAATGGGTAAATCAGAATACTGAGAAAGCCAAGTTCATGAAGAAAATATTTGCTCATTCTTTAAAAATCGCAAAGCCTCATTTAGGCTTTGTTTCTTGCGACTCTTATGCCATGGCTGCTGCCATTGATGAAAACTTTGTCACGGAAGTCACAGTAATTGGCGTAAGTGTTGAGCTTAGTGGCTGTCTAACCAGAGGAATGATGGTAATGGATTGGTCTGATCATCTGAAAAAGGAACACAAAGCATTTGTAATGAAAAACTGTGATTTAGAGAAATTCCAGGGGCTTATGATGGATGCTTTGAAATAAAATGGGCTTATGAGGTTCTATTCCAAATATTTACTGTATGTTGTTATTACTACTGGGCAAACCAAGGTTTGCCTGAAATACTATAATAGCCTCCCATGCAAAAGGTTCTAATGGAATTCTTTTCTAATTGTTCTGAAGTATAAAATAATCTTTTAACATTTTTGCCAGCATGAAAAATACACTTTGAACTTCTTTTTCTCTTCCTTTGCACTACAATCAACTGAATCCTATTCACTGAGTTCTCTATAGTCATGAACTCTTCAGGACGATAAGAATTATACATCCCTAGAAAGTGTTCAGGAAAGGGGTCCTTTGAGCAAACACTATAAATTTAAAAATAAAATAATGTCTCCAGCATGATGTCTATCCTCTGAAGCACTACAAGATGTTGATACAGGCACCATTTGATCAATATTATATTTTTTCTTAAAAATCTAAAAATAATACAGTCAATTTTAATGGAAATATGGTATTCAGTTTGCTTGGGTGGATAAAGCATTCAGTTACAATTTACAATTTATAAAAGCTGTCTTAAAATAAAAGAGCACATGATAAATAGCGGAGAATACTTTGATACATTCAAATTATTTCATTTGGTACAAGTTAGAAACAAGGATAGTGCAGAAAATGATGCTGCATATCCATGGTGATGTTGCCACAGATATCTTCCTGTGGTGAGATTAGCAAATGAGAGGACTGACATTCTAAAGGAGATTGTCCCTTCTACTAAGACTTGGGTAGATCAGTATGATTCCATATCTATAACTGAATCCCATTTTTAGTACACTAGTTGGCATATAACTGCTTGTGTTATAGCTGTCTTCTGCTTCCAATTGAAATTTTCAATAAATGCCATTGGTAGGAGAAGCATATCCTACTTTAAAACTAATATCTGTTAATAAAACAATGGCAACATTACTGTATAATAGCATGTATTTTCAGTTAGCAAATACTTTTCTTATGCACTTTTTGGTGATATTATTATTACTAGCCATAGAAGACACTCAACAAGACTTGTTGTAATTATTTGTAGAACTATCATTATGCCAAGTTGAATGTTGTTATGATCTAAGGAACAATTTTCAAGATAATCAAGGTATGCCAATGGAAAATGTGAAAGATCTGAGTGGCTCAAAAAACTCCTTTATTTGAAATAATTGATTTTTCACTACACAATACGATTTATGCTTATTTAGCAGAATATGCCAAATCTATCACTTACTGAAATCCTTTCCAATCCCACCATATCCCAAAAACTGTGGTGCATGTGGTGCCTAGTTGCAGAAGGGAGGGTTTTTTTCCCCAAGAAACTAAGGCAAATCACCCTGAAACTCTTGATATTCAGGAAGAGGTCCAGAGTAACTGTTCATAGGGCATATCTAATAGTTATACAGATTGTGTTTTAGCAAGATTTCTGTCTAAAGGTGAGCAACAATAAACTACTCTGAGTGAATCACTGTGTCGTTCTTGATTCCTTGCACCTGACTGAAATTCTCAGAACAACCACCTATTCACCATATCTACTCTTGTAGGAAAAATTTAAGAATCACATTTTTCTAAAAGGAAAATGACTCTGAATTTAAAAATGTAAGAAAGACATGGGACTCTGTTTATTCAGGCAAATAATAAGAGCGAATCTTCAGCCCTCCCTATGTTGCAGCAGAGATGTTTGCAGCCATTTGCATCTCTTGCTTGTCCTTTTCTTTTCAACAGCTTTCTATTTTTCATGGGTAAATCTATTTTCTCCGCAGTCACATAACATTATTTGGGGGGAAAAATTCAACTTTCTGTTAAGTAATGTCAAGTAAATAACACATAATTAAAATATTCTTCATGTACCTGTATATCTTCCTTTTACCATTTTGTAGATTAACTAAAGAAAGCAGTTTGGTGTAATGGTTAAGGCATCAGGCTAGAAACTGGGAGACTGAGTTCTTGTTCCACCTTAAGCATGAAGCAATCTAGTCATTTTCTCTCATCCCTAGAAAGCAGACAATCACAAACCACTTTTGAAAACCTCACCAAGAAAATTTCAGGGATTTGTCCAAGCAGTCTTTGAGAATTATATACAGGGAGTCCTCAACTTACAATAGTTTGTTCAGTGGCCGTTCAAACTTACAATGGCACCGGAAAAAGTGACTTATGACCATTTATCACACTTACAACCATTGCAACATCCCCATGATCACGTGATCAAAATTCAGACACTTGGCAACTGACTCCTATTTGGGATGGTTGCAGCGTCCTGGGAGTCATGTGATCCTCTTTTGCAACCTTCTGACAAGCAAAGTCAATGGGGAAGCCAGATTCACTTAACAACCATGTCACTAACTTAAAAACTGCAGTGATTCACTTAACAACTGTGGCAAGAAAGGTCATAAAATGGGGCAATATTCACTTAGCAACAGAAATGTTGGGCTCAATTGTGGTCCTAAGTTGAGGGCTACCTGTACAACTGAACGGGGAAAAAATGAGCCTTTTTGGGCATATATCTGTCAATTGTTTTATAATTTGTATAGCCAAATGAACAGGATAGTATCTGTTTATCCATCATGTATGACCTTCATTAGAGGAAAATAAGAGAAGAGGGAAATATATATTTCATATCTTTTAACTGTGCTGCTACTCCCAATTTGTGTTTAAAAATTTATTTGCAAGTTTGTTTGGAATATTACATCACAATAACTTTCCCCCCCTCTTCCTCTATTGTTTAACAGAAAAGAAAGGAAATGCTTACTGTTTTAAATTATTTAGCCAATAAAGTAACCAATGTGATTGCTTTTGCTATAACTGGATTGATAGGATTGAAGTAAGAGCAAGATCCGGAGGATTCCATAAGAAAAAAGATAGAAAAAAAATAGCAACAGAATTTAGGGACTGGAATAATGGCCAGAAAAAGAGATTCAGATGTCAAAGAAAAGGAAGGAACATAATTATGGGAAGACACTATGAAAGGGAAGGTTGACAGAAATGGAAGATACAGTAATTTAATTTAATTTAATTTTTTAGGTGTGGAAACTTGTCTTCAATTTCTAAATTTATAAAGTGTTGCAAAAATCAGGCCCCGTTTGCAATATGTTTTATTATGTTATCCAGTGAAACTCTTACTGTCTTTAGCAACATTTGAAGCTCATTAATCAAACAAATGAGACATTTAGAAGAAAATGACAATAAACTGAAACATTGAATGCAATGCATGCAACAAATTATCTATGGGCCTGACACTTGGTATATCCTCCATATTACTAAATCCTAGAAATGTTTGTTTTTACCTAATATATTTATATGTTGGGTTATAAGTAAACATCATTTCTTATTTCTTACTTCCATATTGTAGATGCATTAACATATACCACACCATCCTAGGTTGCATCACAAATGGCAATATTTAGTATCTGATCCACAGCCCATATCATCCCGAAAGATATTTTTAGTGAAGCAACCTAAGATAAAAATGTTATTTGCTATAAATTCTAAAGCAATCTCCCAGGAGGGTCTCTTTTTATAAAGAAAACATATAGACTCTAGAACAAATCTCATAGACTAGGGGTGACATGATAGCAGTGTCCCAATATTTGAAGGGCTGCCACAAAGAAGAGGGAGTCAACCTATTCTCCAAAGCACCTGAGGGCAGGACAAAAAGCAATGGATGGAAACCAATCAAGGAGAGAAGCAATCTAGAACTAAGGAGAAATTTCCTGACAGAACAATTAATCAGTGGAACACCCTGCCTCCAGAAGTTGTGAATGCTCCAACACAGGAAATTTTGAAGAAGAGATTGAACAATGATTTGTCTGAAATCACGATTTCCTGCCTGAGAAGGGAGTTGAACTAGAAGACCTCCAAGGTGCCTTCCAATTCTGATTTTCTGTTATGTTTTCTAAACAGAAGGATTAATAAGCTCCTCCTTTTATTCTTATGGGCTTTCCCCCCCATTTGAAATTAGGGCAGATGCTTTGCTAAAATAATTAACTGGCAGACATTCTTATTGCCATGTTTCAAAGGAAGAAATTTAGATTACAACACATTCTAATCAGGCTACAATATAATCTAGGCTAACTAAGCAACTGAACTAATCATAATCTTCATTTCCCCCCCCCCTCTTTTTCAATTTTATGTACTTTTTGATTCATGTACAGTACATTAGACTTTGTAGGCCCAAAGGGATGGACCCTGGAAACATTTTTACATTAAGAACAAAGTAATCCGCACTAAATAAATAACTAAAATGTATAATATAATCTTGGGCTAGAGTCAAGAAGGGAACTAATGAAGTTTAATCTTAGTATAACTAAGTTTGGATCCATTCTTAAGCATAGAAAAACAAGGATAGCAGAATATTAGATAACCATTTTTATAGCCATAAGGTGGCGCTGGTAGCGTTTGACAAAAGTCCTTAAGACACAGAAATGAAAATCAAATTCCAAGAACCTATGTTGACAGAGCTTGCTTCCTCAATCTATCTGTTTGTAGAACGACTGTGCATGAAGCAGAGGTTTTGTTTGCACCTTTCACCAAATGAATCTTAATCTGAAATCTTGTTTGATTTGCAATATTGTTCAGCATATTTCTAAACAGTAAATATTGTATGCGGATGCTGTACTGCCCAGAGTTTTGCACTTGTACATTTCAAAGAAATCCTGCCATTCAAGAGGATAAGATTCAGGCACAAAAGATGGTAATTACAAACATATTAGATCCTTAGGAACCAATGTTGTTTTTAAAAATATTTTTTCTTTCCCTTTCCCTTAAAAAAAAAAAGTTTACAGAGTCAGTTGACAAGATAGGTATTCAAAAAAACTCAGAACTAGTTCTATTGATATCTGCACTTCATCCAGTTTTTATTCCTCTAACCAAGAACTACAGTTCTCAAGAGGGCAGGATTATTAGGTTATTCCAAACATTCAAAGAGACTTTCCTTTCTTTTCTATGAAGTTTTATTATATGTATTGTTCTTCAGCAATCTTTTCAAAACAAAGAAGACATTTACTGAAAAAAAT